GTCAGGCCTCAAGGCAGCTGAACCGATAAAGCAGCTTTGAGCCGCGCGAAGGTCCAATCGGAGATTGTGAAAGGTATTGGGTCAGCTGGGCGGCGCGCTGGCCAATCCTGGGATTGGGCCTGGGCAGACAAGCGGGCCGGAATTAGGAGTTGGGCCCAAACTAAAACATACATGCAAATCAGCTAAGCTAGAGAGAAGAGTAAAACGCCGAAAAAGGAAGCACGTAGTGGATCCAACGAATCAGGTAGCGTGTGAGCATTGCATCAAAATGTTGAGTCATTTCAAAAAAAACAACAACAACAAGTGTTTACAAAAATCTGGGGGAACTACAGGGGAGGTTAAACGCTCGAGCTAGGGTTGTCACCCGCCTTGGATGTGGCTAAGCTAGTCCCCGGATTTTGATCGCCTGGGCCGTCTTCTTCTCCTCCTTCCTCCCCTTCAGACGCGCTTGAGCTCCCTTCGTCCAAATAAGGGCGTGGGTCGAACTCGGCCAGGGAGCGGCAAGGAGGGGGAAAGCCGAGGTCGGGGAGAGTGAATCCTTTGGGGAGCTGAGCCAGTTTGTCGCGGAAGACCTGCTGGGCGCGGAAGAGTCCACAATTGAAGGATTTGGTGCCCTCCTTGACCATCCATTGAGCCCCAGGCTCAGTTTCGAGCCAAGCAGCCGTTAGATCTTCCATCCGTTCCATCGCGACCACCGTGAAGTCAGGAGAAGACTTGAAGGATTCTACTGCTTCCTCTGCATAGCGGACCCGGTCGCTCCTCTCCACTTCCAGCTGCTGGATCAGATCAGTTTTCTCCCCCTCCAGCTCAAGCACGCGGGCAGAAACAGATTCTAACTCCAAGGACATGGAGGCCTTGTCTGCTTCAAGGGCGGCACAGCGGTTCTCCTGGGAAGTTTTCTCCACAGCAAGCGCCGCGCAGCGATTCTCTTTCTCCTCCAACTCCCTGGTGAGCCGAGCGACCTCTTCCTGCAGCTCCTTCTGCTTGGCCTCGGCTGCTTTCATCGCCTCGTCCGCGG